CACACACACTCGCACACAACTAGATTTAGTGTTCTTTCAGATAACCAGATGGCCCATGTATGGTTTGAAGATACTTTAAGTTGTACTTATACAGTGCAGCCTCTGCATAACGACATCGACGGGACCAACAAATAATGTCGTTATAGAGAGGCAACGAAAAATATTATTTATTATATATTATAACAAAAAAATCGGGACGTAGGCACCATGTCGCTATGCATAGGATGTCGTTATATCGAAGGTCGTTATAGAGAGGCTGAGCGTCCTAAGTTTTGGGGAGCAGTAAATGTAGAGATCATCGAGACATGCCTGCTCTTCGTGTGCGGAGGCTTTTGCAGTGCCTGCTTGTACATCTTTCTCAACATTTCTTTTTTTGGTTGGTTAAAAAAAAAAGGGGGGGGGGGGGGGTAAAAATCCCTGTTATTCCTGGCTCAGAAGTTTGAAAAAGTTATATACTTACACTTACAAATGTCAGCCCGCTCAGCAAGCTGAAGCAGGTTTCTGATGTGAAAGGCGAACACTTCATCATATCACAATGCTTATCCCCTCCCCCCCCCCCCCCCCCAAAAAAACACCCACACCCACACACTCCCCCCCCCCCCCCCCCCCACACCCCCAGCACCACAAATTAAACTACAACCACCAAAATAGTTTTTATATTGCCATTGTCAGCCCCACCTTTATAAACGCAAATGGATTCTTGTCACAAATGTCAAGCCTGTAAATGTATATATTGGTATATTTTCAACTAAACCAGTTGTCGAACCGGTTCGCGGTAGACCTTCATCTAATTTCTAATCCAGAAACATTTCGATAGACCTTAAACTAAAAGTGTTCAACATAATATCCTTCGGCGGTTGAAGATATAGAAGAGTAAGCCGTTAGGCTGTCATCAAGGCAAAATTCAAATTTAAAAATTCGTACCATCATTTGCCATAAGAAAACATCCCAATCACACCTATGTAAAATAATGAGACACATCCTTAACCCTATCCGAACGTCGTGTTTTACTATCGTATCCATACGACGTGGGGAACTCGGTGCCACCACTTTCCAAAGAGGAAATTACTGGTTAATCCGAACCGTACGCTTTGCATAGCAGTCAAAATCATTTTTTGACAAAAACTGAAAGTTTCAAAGAGATCTTCGTACTAGAAGTATTTAAAAATGTGAAGAATACAACCCCGGGGTTACAAAATGACCCCCAGAGCGTACAGATATGGTTAAACTTTCCTTGGTTACAAACACACTGACAATTGTCTTTTCTGGGGAGCAAATCAAGAGAAAAGATCTGAAGGGAGGGAAGTAGTAGAAGGACATTCTGCTTTCTCTTTGTCTAACGCCCATTCAAAGCTGATCGTCTTTTAAAGACTGAAAAGGCCACCATTACATTGTAGTTAGATAAGGGGATATAATCAAAGATGCCGTGTAAGTTCTTTCCTTTTTTCGTTTGTTTTGTTTTGTTATCTAAATAGTTTGTCTCAGTGATTAAGGTTCTTTTAATTAAAAACAAGCCATAGTCTATAGTAACCCTCTCATGAAATTGTTTTGAATCTCCCTGATTTCACAATGCTGAAAAGGGCATCTAAAGTCGCACTCGTGCTTGACATTAATTAAATACGTTGATCGCCAAGTTGCTTAGGGATGATCAGACCTGTACATTCTAATAGCCGTGTTAGTGTAAGGGTTTGTTTCCTAACAGTCTAGATTTATTATAATTATAGTCCATCTCTGATAAGACCTGGTCAGATAGTGAAGAGCCTTGAAAATTCCCCAAAACAACTCGAGTAAAAAAACCAAAATCCGTTGGGCATTCGAACCACGTCCGAACGTACAGGCCCACTAATTGTAGTACATGTTAGCGTACATTAAAAAAGACATTCATTAATTCATGTTTGCCTCCTTACGTAGCTTTTATCCCAGCAATTCAAGTTCTTTTACTTATCAAACGGTTATCAATAGATCCCACACTCAAAACATTTTGATTTTCCGCGATTTCACTATAGTAAAGAGGATGTTAGTCAGTCCGTTTCTTTCTTCTTTTTGTGTTTTTAGCAATAAATAATCCGCAGCCGACTTGCTAGGCCGGAGACAGTTACGCCAGAGCCCAGTTAGCCTGCAACTTTTCGGGCGGGGTGACCCGGGTTCTCCCTCACGGCTAGCGTGACGCCGAAGTGGCATAAAGCCACACCGTACGTCGTTGAACACAGCAATCCCCCACTTTGTCCAGTTTCCACCTCCCGGGACGTGGACCTGGGGTTGACGTATCCTACGATTACCAACACACCATCCAGCACAACGTGCCTACCTCCAAAAATTCGATGACAACAAGGCTAGAGGGCGACCGAGAAAGACCTGGATAGATGGAGTCAGGGAAACATTTAACACCCACGGCATCCCCCTGACCCAAGCTCTCCGGCTGGCGACAGAGAGACGTCTCTTTCTTCCCGCGACACCCAAAAGGGTATAAGCGGCGGATAAAAGAAAAAAGAAAAGAAGAAAGAGGATGTTTCGATTCTGTTCGCACTGGTACTTTGATATTGAAAGAGAGAAACTAAACATGTACATGTACATACAAAGAAGCTAATTACATTTTAAAAAAATTAAAAACGGCACACGTTTAGGCAGATGAGCAAACCACTCTAGGAAAAGGAAAGGCAGTTTCATCAGTGGCAAGCTGTGGCGTTGTGATTATTACAAGCAGCGTGCTATTATTTCCTTTACTTTTTTCTCTGTACATTACATGTACCAAGTTAACTACCTAGGTAACAATGTCTATGACTGCTCTTCCTCCTTAGAAGGTAAAGACCATCATCAGTTCATGAAGAACAAATTTTTGTTACACACACATGTTATATTAAGTGTTCTGTAGAGTTTTTTGCGGATGATTTGGCGCTTCCGTCACACACCCAGTCCAGGAACAGATACAAGCACACCTCAGTTTTAAAAAGAGTAACAAAATCTGTTGGACTGGCGATCCACCTGAAAAGTCAGTGGCCTAAAACAAAGAGATAGATGCACCACAAAGAAAGCAAACAATAGAAGGACAAGAACTCTAGCTAATGTATCCAGCCTTTCGGGACACCGAATGTGTTTTGTGTTTCATTCTTGTGACTTTCGTATTGGTAGATTTGTACCCTATATTACTTGGTATCTATGAAACCCCTCACTGGCTGAAGACTTGTGATTGTCGAAGATTTAGAGATAATGCTAGAGAGTAATGTACAAAGAAAAGAAAGAGAGACAAAGACAAACGATGTTTGATAGAAAAAAAGGAGCCGCCACCATCCACTTATGAGACTAAAACAAGGCAGCCAATGCTGAACAGTGCAGTTGATTGTTTTACACCCCATCAACACAAAAATTTGCATCTTTTGAGAGGCCAGCTGCTTTGACCCTGCCTGCCAGGGCCTACCTTGACTTGGTGGGATAGAGCATCCGATCAGACAAATGGAAACAAAAATTTCCTCAAACAGGAATCAAATCTCAAGTCTCAGTTTCAGTTTGATAAAAGTTTCACGGCACTCGCAACTGCCTAAGATTATACGAGCACGTTCAAATCTTTGTCAGTGAGGCAATGAGCCTAATTATTATAGGACAGACAGCGATAAGATGAGATACTGATAATAATGGAAAAAAAGTTCCCAGAGACAGTGGTTTGATCATTTTGCCTCTTCTTACAGTAAAAGTTTGTTATGATTTTTTTAGTATTTCTTTCCTCATGTTTATAGCAACAATATTATTATTATTTACTTTTCTACCAAATTATATATTGAAGGTTCCAAAGTATGAGAGAAAGAGCAATAATGATTAATATTGCACCGCATAAGATAGTCACACTTTAAAACTTTCAATTAATATACCTGTGATTTAAACAGATAAAAATGAACAAGTTGGTTGCATAAACACAAGGAAAGAGCAATGCAGGTAACCTGGATCATGGCAACTGACCCAAAAGAACACTTCCCAACGAGCTTAATAAGTTATCCGTCTTTCAGCTTTCCCCCTGGACAAATAGTAGGCCTACTGTTGAGTGGATGCAGAAAGAGCAAGCTCAGAGATACGTTTATAACGGTGCTGTACAAAATTGAGATAAAACGTTAAGAAAACAAGTTTAAACAAGTATGGAACATCATTTAAAACATTCTGCAGATGCATCCATTGCAATTTTTAAAAAAATGTTTTTAAAAAACACACAAAAAAACCCAAACTTTTTGTCCAGATAAGAATTTATTTGCCATTCCCAATCCAAATGGGACACCAATGCTACTTTTCATTGTAATACATTTAAACACTGTAACATGATATCATTATCATGACACAAATAAGTAACATCATCATCATCATCGGCCTCTCTCACACTGCCAGAGAACAGGCCATCAACAAGAGTTCTCCATCTAATTATCTGGGCTATAGTCTCCACCTGTGCATCAGTTCTGTTTGTCTCCTAAAGTCTTTAGACCTGTATTTAGGTCCCTCCTCCAAGTATATTTATACCCCCCTTTCTTTTTACTTCCTCTTGTGAATTCTATCTTAAGGCTTGGTGGGTTACATTTCTGATTTTTACATCAGTTTTCTTTTGATTCGTTGGCTCCCACAGGTTTTGAACTAGAGTCGAGATATTTGCAAATAAAGGTAAAACTAGCAAAAAAATTATCGCCAAAGCTTAATGACTTCCAAAGCTTAAATGCCTTTGGAAACTGCAAATTTACATTTTTTGGGCCTTTGTCAAACACTTTTCAGTAAAATCAACAACAAAATATTTTTTAATGGATATAAAAGATGTTGTACTCACTATGTGACAATTGAAACCAATACCACATCATTTCTGAGCACAGAACTTTTCATTTCTTTAAAAAAAAAAAGTCACAATAGTATAATGCACTACTTTATCAAGATACAAATTCAATAGAAAGATAAGAATCTTAGAATGACAGCCGACTCTGCTGGTAAACCATTACAACCATATAGAAGTAAAGAGTAGCATTGTAGCCCAAAGACACATTTACAACTTTAAAAAATAAGATCTGGTAAGCCACATACATTTGAATCATGTAAGATCTTGACAGAGATCTGATTGCTTTCTAAATACTTGACAACGTAGTCTGGGCTTGTTTTTGAATACATTCTTGTTCAGAGCATACAGATATGCATGCACCCAATTAGACAAACCAGTAGACTAATATTTGGAAAAATAAAACACAGATTGATCCTTTCCTTCTTGTTTAACCAAACCCCAACATTTTACGGTAACTCCAAATCTTCGTAAGTCTCAGACCACACTTGTTGATATATAAAAGTAATGATGTGCACTACAGGCAATCACATTAAAAGGAAATGCAAGAGGTCAGCCACACATTTCACTGAACTGCCACAGGTAGTTGCATTACCAATGCAAAGCGCAAAAAGTTTCTTAACCCTATGACCTAGTTAAAGTTAACTTGGTCCTCAGTAGGACTGAGTAATCTGACAAAATGATAACCACTCGGCATTGTCTGGATTCCTTGACCTAGTTAGCTCAGTAATGGGACTGAGTGAGTTAACGGATTAACAGTAACTTAGTAAAGCTGTTCCTCGGTTAGGACTCTCGTAGTTTGTTGCACCAATGACTAGGCCAAGACCTGGCTGTCTCTCATCAAAACAAGTTCCGACACAAGGGACATGAAGATTTTTGGCTGGTGCTGAACCATTTGTACTGCGAAGAAAAATGTGGAGAAAAAAAGCTATAAAAAGGAATACGGTAAGAACAATGATAAAATTATTACACAGCACATAAGAAAGGCAATAAAAATGATTCACTTATTGTTTCAGTAACTTCCGTTGTGTTTTTCAAAATTTGTATCTTTGCTTGGTTCAGTTAAAATATTGTAGAAATATACATACATTGGTGAAGGATTCAATGGCATTTTCAGAATGCCTGACAATTTGGATTCTCATTCCGCAAGGGACTACTCTATCGCTTACAGGAGGATATGTTTTCAAGGCCTTTAAAAGGGCTAAAGACAAATTAATAGGCTGGGTACTAATGTACTGGACTAAGTTTCAAAGCATACAGTAAAAAGTGATATTTTTTCTTTTAGTTTTAAAGATGGCTCATTAGTCTTTGCCTGCAAACATTTTACAATCGAAATACAGAACGTTGAGAAAGCAGTAAGAGCACCAGGAAACAAGCTTGTTTTTTTACACAGGATTTTATCTCCCCATACATAAAAGCAGATCTCACTTTCACACACATTTGTGCAACAGACAAAAATGAACACATTAACTGTAGTTTATTTTGGCTGTGGAAGATTTGAACCTAGGCCTATTTCCCACGTTTCCAGCTTTTGGAGCTGAAGGCAAAGCTGACACTGATAATGTCAATTTTGGTTTTTGTTATTGAATATATTTTGACTTCTAAGAGAACACTCACCAAGCAAGCAGAGTGGAATTTCTTGTGACATGTCTTACACGTCAGCCTGGGGAGTTGGAACGTCGTGCCGTGGATGACAGAGAAGCAGATCATACAATCATCTATACCTTCAAACTTTTTGTCAATATTTCCCTTCCATAATCGCAAGCCTTCCTCAATGCTGCCATTCTGAAAAAAGAAAGGGAGGTGGGAAAATGTTACTTCATAAAAAAGGGACCTTCCTCAATGCTCCTATTTAAAAAGACAAAAGAAGAGTGGAAAAATTCATGTCTTTCTTAAAGGGATCTTTCCTCAATGCTACATAGTTCTAAGGAGTACAAATATGAGAGAAAATTTATGGTCTTTCTTGCAAAGGGGTCCATTTCCATGTTGCTATTTCAAAAGAGTAAATAAATAATGGAACATTTCTGTTTCATAAAATGGTGCCTCCTCAATACCGTCATTATCAAAGGGTTTTTAAAAAAGATAGAAAATATAGATCTCTTAATAAGCAGATGTCCTAAAAGACAAAGAGACAGATAGACAGACCGACAGACAGATAGATATATATAAATACTGCAAAATAATGATGACTGAAGGAGGAAATACAGCAGCAGCAGACACAGAAGCAGAAGGAAGAGAAAGAGGGAAGAGTACAAGGAGAATAAGAGGAAGAAGATGGAGGAAGAGGTGGAAGAGGAGGAAGAAGAAAAAGAAGAAGAAGAAGAAGAAGAAGAAGAAGAAGAAGAAGAAGAAGGAAGAAGAAGAAGAAGAAGAAGAAGAAGGAGAAGAGGGAGAAGAAGAACAAGAACAACAACAATAGCAAGGAAATCATAGTGTTACCTGGTGCTGTAGGAAGATGTTGAGCTGCATCAGCCAGCGATCCCACTGTCCCTGAGATACGCCCACACGGCGGTCACAGGCCACATTCAGCCTCCCCAGGGGAAAGTTCTCTGGCAGAGTGATGGTCAAAGTCACGCTCACTTCTGCCATCTCATAGGTGGCGCTCACCTCTCGGGCTGCTGGCCGAGCACGTATCTGGTGAACAAACAACAGAGTGAACGACCTATTTAGTTTTAGCTTTAGTAAGAGTTTTACTGTATTCCCAGAACAAACAGGTCATATAAGTGCCGAAGATTTAAGGCGTCACTGGACAGTAACAAACAAATAAAAGCAGAAGGAGATTTTTTTTGTTTTAGTAACGTGTTATAAGGGAGTCACAAACGCAATAAAAGGAGTGGAGATAAGGACGATAGGATTGGAAAGAAGGAGCAAACAATAGCAGAGCACCTGCTAACCACTCACTCGAGTAAGGAAAATTCATAACAAGAACATACAATAAAAAATGGACATTACTAAACAAGATAATAGCTGGTGACAGAATTTGTATACATCAGCACATGGAAGACATACAGATTATACAATTAAACAAGGCTCATTATTATGGTTCTTTATCTCTTGGCTTCTAGCTAAGGTTCAAAATGACAAAAACACAAATGGCATTAAAGCAAAACTAGTTATGTGACTAGTCCCACCCCCTTCACCCCTCAAATAACAAACAGCACTTTTCTGCATGGGGACCACACCTCCTTCCAAGAGAATGGCACAGAGCCTGTAGTCCCTCCGCCTCCAATTAAATCAATATAATTTTTGTCCAGTCTGTTTATAATGTTCGTCAATAAAAAAAAAAAAGACATTATACAATTTCCTTTCTTAACCAGCATTGTACACATGAAGGCGTATTTTCGCGTGACAGCCAATTATATCACCAACAATTTCGGAACAAGAATCCAAGTCACTTTCCAAATCAAGATTGTTAATCAAATCTTTCTCAAATATAACTGCTTTTTCCTGCAGTCAGTCTCACTGTTCACTACTCCAGTGTAGCTGATGGGAAGTTTTTGGACATGGGGACAGAGGTAGATCTTGATCTAAAATTCATCATCATCAATGCCTTTCACCCCTGGCTGGGTATAGGCCACATACAAGCTCCTCCATTTATCTCTGTCCTGAGCCATCCTTCCAAGCTCGTTCCAAGTGAGCTTCATTTCTCTCATGTCCCTTTCCACGCATCTGTAGTTGGTATCGGTGCATTTCTTGGAGAACTTGTGCAGTTTTTCCAGCCTCATAAAGGGTCCTAACGTTCCATGAGCCGATCCGAAGAGACTTGGACTTGGATGATGGTGGAGACTTCTGCCCAGCAGCTTCCTTTCGGCTTTCACCGCCTTGCATCATAAACTCTCCATTTGGAGAAGATCCCCGATCAGCCAAGCAGAGATAATGGTTTTTGCTTGAATGTGTTTCTGTAGCAGGTTCTTTTTACGAGAGAGGTTGTTAGCCTCATGACTCAACCCCCGACCTGGAGGCAGGATGATTCTGTTTCAGGAGTCACTACCTGGTTCGCCATTTAGTCGCCTCGTACAACACGCTAGCACCACGTCAGTCCTATTCTTCTCAATGCCGAGACTGCACGGCTATGATCTAAAATTGTCAACGATTTAAATCTGGCTGTTCAAAAAAAAAATTCATGAAATTAATTCTTGCTGATAAGAGCTAAACATTTAAGTCACGCCAATAAACAGAAAAGTGCATGGTATTTACCGTAATCCCTTCCATGTTGGTTGTCGGATTGTTGGACGCTGAGATCTGATGGAGGATGAGATCTTTGCTCAAGTACTGACTAGTAAACCTGGGACAGAAAATCAGAGACAGACATGTGAACCGACTACCAAACCAGGAGCACAGACATGTACACACATTCACTTTCAGCCTACTTTCAGCACACATCTTCAATGGCACCGAGTAAAAACTCGTGAGATTTCCTAAACTTGTGACTGCGCTTTAAAAAGATATGCTGACACTTTATCCATATTAATGCAGGACAAAATCTATCCAATAAAGAATGAAAATTGAAACTGCAGACATTTTCAGAAAGAGACAGTAGTAATTTCATGCGATCCCCTAAAAAACAAATGGAAACTGCATTACATGTAACGGTTTTGGAATTTCACAGATTTTTAACAGAGTCGGAAAGACAGATTAAAGTGTCCCAAATATGTCTGTATGACCATTGTAAGGTAACTGTAAATAAAACGTGATTCAATGTCTTCCATGTTGCCTCATCTTTCAAAAGTAACACACAAAACAATTTCAACTTTCAGGGACGTTAATGAATGAAGAAAATTCTAAAGATACAATTATCTTAAGCTTCCCTTATATACCAGCAGAGGAAATTTTCATCTCACAGCAAATCCATTACAAAAAACACTTGAGACCTTGTAAGTTTTAAAGTTGGTAAGAGGGTCAAATGTATGTATGTTTACGTTGATATGACGATATCTATTGTACTTTGTGATGCAGATACCAGTGAAAACACACTGTCAGTCTCTTCCAAACAGGTTGAAGTAAGTGTACTTTCCCCATATCTTTTCGTATTAAAGCAGCATACCTGTCCACAAAGTTGGAAGACTTCCGGTCCTGATCCACCCACCACACTCTCACGAGAGCAGGCAACGTCTCAAGACAACGTCTGTATACGGAAAGTGCCAGACCAGATAATTCTTCACTACTGCCTTCCCCTGGTAAACAAAAAATTTATGAAAAATTGAATCAGCTCATTGCATAGCTAATCCATTAAAAAACAACAACATTTGTCACCCCGCTTGTACGTAAGCGGGTAAGGGTGTTGAAAAAGTGTCCTAGAAAAGAGAGCTACTTTACCATGTTAAAAGAAAGGTGGTTAATGGAATTAATCCATGAAACAGTTTTTTCCTAATTAACTCCAGTGACCCAGAGTGAAAAGCAAAGAAATCACACCAAAAAAACTCCCCAATGAACTGCCAATGAAGACTTTACCAAAAAGCATGATTATCTTGTTCTGACATCAGTCTGCTTTCTGATGTGAGCAAAATTAGGCAATTTATCCCCCACTCAAAAAGTGTTAGTCATTATGAAACAATGAAGAAAGGCAAACCTCGTAAGTTTTCCAACAGAAAAATGGTCCAAATATTTGATTTAAACAAGAAAGTCTTCTGATGGGTGTGGTGTCGTATTAGATCTACAAATTTCTATTTACATCGGCCATAACTGCACAGTAGCTGCTGACCAGCTGATATAATCAGCTGATGACTAATGTGGGGTTAAGCAAAAAAATCAGTGAGTACAAACAGCTTACTTCACTTTCATCGAGTAATGATAAATACAATACAGAACATGTTAACTCTTATCCTGCGTCTGTGCCCAGATGCGTATCTTATCAGCAACCGATTACGTCGGACTCGCCGGGCAGGCCGCCGGGGTCACTCAGTGTGTACTGTTGGTGTACAGCGCGCGCGCCGGGAAACGTGTGTTTTCGCCATGAATACCGCGGGAGTGTGTTAACTGATGATGAAAATAACGCTCTATCCTTCATAGCATTCTATTTATAAAGTGTTACAAACACATGAATAACCCCCTCTCACAAGCTGATAAGACATTACGAGTAGTTACGCCCATTTGAATAACCTTTCTGGACGCTCTTGTTGTTATGAATGACCTGAGGTTCGAAAAGGGATAATTTAGGTCAATTTCCGAATGTTTTACACTCAAATTGTTCTTTGTACCTGCACAAGGGTATTCAAAACTATTAAACAAGCTCATCTTTTATCAGGTAGTATCATTTCATATAAAATCAAGCTCATTTGAAATATTTTGTATAGAAAAATGGAAGTCTTGTTTCCTGACTATCCTTTCGAGCTCCTCATGTCTAAGTGGGTCAATTTCTTCTATAATTTCATTGGACGAACATCTAGAGCTATCAACTTGGCATGTTTTGAATGAGACGTATGCCTCGATTACGAACCAACGCAGGTGGTTCTAGAAGAAGGCCACAAACGCACACAAACTCAAGCAGACTGACGCACACACACTTGACCTGCGTGAATGGGGATCCGACTCGGGACCCGAATGACACGTAAGAGGATGCGCGCTGCGCGTGCGCTGAGCCAGGAGCTACACTGACTCGGGACCAGAACGCAGGCGAGGTGCCGAAATAGGCTTATCGGGCTACATAAACCCAGCTCCCGCAGGATGAGGGTTAAAAGATCAACCAAAGAAATACACAGAAATTTCTTTCCTTCAAAACTTGAAGAGACCATAAAGATTTAAATCACCTGCAGCATCCTGATCCAGACTGAATTCTAGCAAAGGTGTGTTAACCTGAGACGGAACCAAGCGGAAGAGATGGTCTAGTAGATGGTTGACAGAGTCACGTGACTTGAAGTACCCAGCGTATTTGGCTCGCAGCTGTGGACAAGAATAGGACGTGTAGAGAAAAACCAAGCATGTAAAGTAAGAAAAAGTTGACAGAACTGCAACTAATTCAGACATCCATCCTGTTTGGATCATGTGGCCACCTTCTAAAGTAAAAAAGTTCGTTTGACTTTTCCACATTTCATTTTAAGTACCAAGAAAAATAAATACAAAAAACAAATTAATGAGAACTTAGTTCACAAAATACACGTTTTTGAGTGATGTACAACTGAGTTAACCATGCTCCATTATAATTTTCTATAGCTATGCAAGGAGCAGATAGAATAAATAATCATGGTGCCAACGGGCCACAAAAAAAATCCTGAACTATTTTATCCCATGGAAAAGTGATCATATTATTATTATTATTATTGTCTAAGCGCGTCTTTTATCAAGACTGTCTTTAATATCAAGTGTAACATGACATGCAAAAAGAGATAAAAAACATAAATAAATGTATAAGCAGGTGCCTATTACAAAATCTGGATAAGTAAAGAAATCCATATTTCCGGAATATCTAGAATATGGCGCTACTGTTTAAAAACTAAAATTTCCATTATATTTTTCACAATAATACTACTACCTGAAATCAACGCAATAAAAATAGTTTTTTCAGGAAACCAAATAAAACATAAAAACCATGAATCAAGAATAAAACAAAACACAAAATCTAATATGGAAAGTTAAATAATCCTCCAACAGCAAAGACTTATGCTAGGCCAAACGGCTCTTGTCCACACTGACCAGATTTGGAGAGCAGCGGAAAAGCTGCAGCAGTAGCGTCCAGGCCAGCATGTAGCCCCTGGCCTGAGCACTCTCTTCCGAGCCCCGTTCCATCTCCACCTGCTCCTCCACCGAGGCCACCATCAGTGCGTCCAGGTAGTGGGAGGTGGACTCCACCAGCTGGACCAGGGCCTCCGGCGGAGATCTGGACAGAAAACATATATAGTTGAGATACTAGAAAAGTTTTCAAAACTAGCCCATTGTATGACCATAACATTAAAATGTATAATTTACGGACCCACTGGTTCAGTTTACATTTTTTTTTCAATATCAAATTCAACATACATATATGAAAACCGAAGAGTGGCAAAAAAAATAAAAAAATAAAAAATAACACCTTTATTTCAAGGCTCACGTTTTTACCTCATTTCTTCTTCTTCCTTGTTCTCCTCCCCTACAGGCGGCTCGTGTCTTGGAACATCTTCAATAACACTGTAAACATATAAAATACAAAGAGAAGTAAAGATCAGTACACACAAATTAAGAGAATAAATGTGGCTTCTTAGCAACTTTCTCAACTATGAAATCTCTGAGGAGCACGAGTTTATTTGCCTTGTATCTTCAGAGGAGTTAAGTTTAAAGTGGCGTTAACTGTGACATGTTGCAGCAAGGATTTTGAGAAAAACAGAGTTTGTAAGGCAGAAGCAGCCAGAGAAACAAGAGAATCAAGACGGTCATATCCTAACATTGATGTAGTACACCACAAGTACTCTTTGTGGAAAATTCTTCTAAAAAAGAATAGAGCATTTAAACGCTACAAGCAACTCCACCAGTTTTAACCAACCAACCATAGGCAGATAGGCACACCACTCTAGGAAAGGGAAAAGCTGTGCTATTTGCGACGGATTGTTACTTTTGTGATCATTACAAGTTGCATGCTATTATTTCCTTTACTTTACCAATCTAGCTACCAACGGTAGTCGGTTAGGTCTATAACTTCTTTTCCTCCTTGGACGTTACAGTTAAAGGTCATTATCAGTTCATGACAGACAAATTACTATCATTATTACACTGTTAAGTCATTTCAAAAGTACAGCATGAGACTGTTGTACGACTGATTTCCAGGGAGAAGATATGTTTTGCAACCCTGACAAAGTTTCTACGGCGTACATGACAGTGAGTGGGTGGGTGCACTGTAATATATGTTAAAGTTCTTTAAACACAGAAAGTTTTGTAAGAGGCAGGACCTCCAGGACATAAGGCCCGTATTTGATAAAATAGTGCATACTGTAATCTAGCATGATAACCTCTGAGCTAACGGTGCCACTAAAGGGGCTTGAGGAAAATTTTTTCCACTGAATAATAGGGCAGGATTACATTTCATATTCATTTGACACCCAGTGATCTTCAAGCCCACACACCTATTAAATTTCAGTGGTCACTCCTTAATCAAAATGCTTTCAGTAAATGAGGCAGAAGTTGTTCTCAAAGCCCTCAGAAAGGTTTTGCTAAGCTTAAGTTATAGATCTGCCACTGCCAAACATATTTACACAAGCATCCAGCAAAAAAAAACCCCTCCATATAACTTAATGGGACTGGGTGCTAAAACAAGTACATGTTACTTTCATGACACAGCACAAACCATCTTACTCACCGAGACAAGAGGTGATAGGACGCCAGCTGTACACATCTCTGCCTTGACATGAGCAGCGGAGACAGATGGTTCAGCAACGTCTTCAGGCTGTCGGGCAGCACACTCGTGTCACTCACTGTCAGCCGGGCCGGCAGTTGGTGCTTCAAGATCACAGAAATTGGGCAAGCAACTATCGTCATTGATAAGGGAGCAAGCATAATTTTGTTCTCTGCACATGAAGTTGCTTGATCAGACGCAGCTAAAAGAAAAGAAAAAGTAACATGAACTTTTTGAAAAACACAACCATACAGAGGTGTTTCCAGCTGAAATATCAAACTAAAAAATGCAGCTAAAAAACATGTTAAAAAAAAGTGGACAAAAAAAGTAATCAGATTAATGTTGTAATAAAAAAAGAACAAATATATAATTTATATTCCTCACTGCACCCTTCTTAGTAATCCCCTGCTGCATGTGTGCCGTGATTCTAGCATGTCTTCAAGCATTGGAACCTTCTCTGTAGCATGCCGATACTCCCACATTGTCTAGTGATAAAGCCCAGAAACTGCACAATGCAGACGATTGCAACTAGGCATGGGTCTCAACTCAGAATTTTTAAAAAGGAGGAAATTTCCGCTTGATCGCGACAGAAGCCCATTTTTGCGAGACACCCACTATTATTATACTGTTGGACCCTAGAATGTTGAAATAAAAACCATCAATTTATCAAAGCAAGGTTATTTCATACCAGTTTGAGAGTTTGGAAGATAATTTCAAGTAAGAGTCACTTACCAAATATTTACAATCTTGATTACGTACAGAAAGTGGAGGCGCACTGTGGTCTTGTACGACTTATTTATATTTTACCTTCATCATATTCGCCTATATAAACTATATAAAAATGAATCTTGTTTTGAGCCTGGGAAAAGGCCTAGAACCAGAATATTGACTGTCATGAACCAGTCTGAGTATAATGATTCATATAATAAACGTGAAAGACAAAATTAATGCTCAAACTCAAAGTAGAGTAGTAATTTGAATAGCTCAAGTAAACCTATTTAAAGTGAGAGGTGTAAGAACTGTTGGAGGGCAAGATACAGTGACACTGAAAATCTGCGAATCTTGAACAAAAAGCTAAAATATATAGACATAATTTACTGTCACCCATCCAATGAAACGCGAACACTTAGGCCCCTGCCCTAAGTTCATTAACACACATACAAGTAGTTATGACTGATCCCGATTATACACAAGGCATGCACAAACGCGCAATTTACTTTGCAGAGAGCTGTAGTAGTAATAAAAATTCTAAATATTAAAATTTGCTTCCAATATCTTTTCTTTTTTTGTCCTCTGGTGTTGCGTCCAGCCCTCCCCCCATCCCCGAGTGTATCTTTTTAAAAAAAATCAATAATCTCCCCCCATTCTGGAGTCCTGTACTTCACAGTGCTCAGAACGCGCACAGGTTCATTGACCGGTCACAATGACGAGCCCGACATGAAGCTTGTATAACTTTCTTTTCTTTTCTTTCTTTTTTTTTTTGCCCCCACAAGTGAGAGCACAGTGACGAACATTATTTTCATGGCGCACCACGTTTGTAATGCAGAACTTGCATGTTACAAATGTTGCGTATTCAGACGTTTACAGACAAATTTCTGAGATCTTGATTTTCCAGTCGAGCCTCGGTGTCACATACAATTCCGCTTGCCGCCATAGCCGCCTGTTCGCGTGAAACGTACTCTCACACCGGGAAAAGCCGAATTAACATCACAATCGCGACCGACAAAAACGAACTTAAAGACGTTATCGGATTTGGTTTTCAAATAATATTCTAGATCTTTTATGTATTTTCCCGCGTCTCGGCGATTTTTTTTTCAAATTTGCCGGTAATTCCTAAGGCGTGGCAGTCACTCTGCTCCCAGCAACTCTCTTTCTGATTGACCCGCTTTCGCAGTAGCGGAGTTTAGCAGAGGACATGGCGGTAGCGGAAATCCGCTAAATGGCGGAATATTGAGACCCATGCTAGGGTCTCAAGGAGTTAAAATTGAGAGATGCCACAGGCAGCACATAAGAGCAAACATAATAAATCTACCTGGAAAATTGTGGCAGCTTCACAACTTACCTAACGTTACAAACATGTGAAGAAGTGGAGAGAAGATGCCTTCACAGAAAAACTCCTCCCATTCTGTCTTGGCCTTCTCTGTGACACAATTGGGCGGCGCTTCCAATGACATTTCTTTCACGACTGGAGCAGAAGCAAAGGTGTGGACGGCAAAATCAGACAGTTGACACACCGAAACCAGCAACGGCCTTCTGGTCACATCATTAGACCAGGAACTGGCATCAATTTCAGACAAATACTGTGAAAGAATAGAGAACAAAAAGGTTAGTGTACTACCACAGGTCACAGCTATTTTTACTACGATGGTCCCACTGAAATCAGAGAAAGAGGGGGAAAAAGTGTTTTCAGAAAGAAAGAAAAATCTTTATGTAAGTTTAGACGTCAAAGTCACCACCATGCATACATAATAAGATTCAGGTCAACGTCACATACTGCAAAATTTAACATCAGTGCAAACATACATTGCTGGTCTTCACAAGGCAGTGCCTTACATCCATGTGCTTCTTGGTGAACAAAGGTAAATAGGGTAAGGTTTCTTCCCAAAGAATACAATGTTCAACCCAATATAGCAGGGAATTGAAATTACAAGTTTCCAAATGCATGTCCAACTAGTTAACTGGGATGTCTCATTACATTATGAAACTACCACAGAGAAATAAATATCTGAGGAACTCTATGCCACCCAACAACAGAAAACTGTTAAAGCCTCGTCAAAAGCCTGTGCGTTCAAACTTCTTTAGCTTGACAGGCGGGTTAACTGTGTTAAGCTAAAGACATTTTCAAAATGGGCATTAGAAGCATTAATGATGTACAAATCAATGTGGGGCTTAATTCTGATTACTCTCTGCTAAATCATAATACTGTTTGTATTCTGAAACATGTGCCTGAGGTCTTTGATACTGAACCCCCCACCCCCAACATCACAGTAAGTTTGCAGTAAGGTCTTAAATGAAGAAGACAAGTGACACGAACCTATGAGAAAAGGAAAATTGATAAAAACATTTGGGTTGCCATGACGTCAAGCGTGAAAGACATTCTCTTTACTATTTCTAAGAATGGGGAGTTCAACATTACTTTTACCCGAAAACCTTGTACAGAAAGATACTCACCTGAATCCATTCCACAAGAACACAAAGGCAGAACTCCCAAAACTGCTCACTATGTGACACCATCAGATCGGGTAACGTGCGAGCAATGCACGTATTCAAGTGCATGTGCTCTTTAGAGCAGTCAGCATCTCTGAAAGAAAAAAAAGGGAAACATAAAAAGGTGCAGTGAAAAGAAAACAAAGCAACCTTACTATACTTGGATACAGTTCAGAGCTACCACAGAAGCAGATAATTTAACGCAAGAATACCAAGAAACCCTGGTTGCAGCGAGTGCAAGGTATAATAAATAGGATTCCAGCATTAGTAAAAAAAACAAAAAAACAAGGGCAAAACAAAGTCAAGGTTTATCTACATATTTGTCCAAAAAGCTCACTATCATTGAAAAAAAAAGAGCCAAAATCTTCAGGAAATAAATGTCCAAATAAAGTAGTGGTCACTTTTCGGAACAACTACACCTTATACGAAATAGCGCAACATTGTACTCGAAAAGAAACATTTTTGTCACGATGTGGTGGAATCAGGCGCTCCTCAATTTTCCACCATGTGGAGTTAATGGTATCATCTGAAAGCTTATTCCTATGCCTTGCTTTCAATGAAATAAATATCCATCCATCTTGAATAGAAGTCAAGATATGTGTGATAGAAGGAGGTAGAGTCACCTGGTTTCAGTGGTTAAATTAGCGAGAAAATGGCTGTCCAAGTTTGGTATCTTCAATAGCTTGAGATTCCTAGAAAACTGAAAATAACATATTATGTTGCGCCTCCAACCATCATTTTTCCAGTAAAATTCACATGGAAATGTGTGTTTATATGGACATAAAAGATGCAGAGTCAAAATAAAATTCAATAAAATGTGCCAACCTGGTGGAAAAATGTCTGTTTCATTGATTTCATTATTTGGACGCACGCCTGATTTCACCATGATGCCTCACATTTATGTCTTAAAATATACATCAATCAAAGTTTGACTACGAGTGTCAACCAAGTTCATATGATAAAAAGGCTTATTGACTGTCAATGGGAGGCTTACACAACTTCACCACATTCCCCTTAGCTAGCCAGTGTGATCCTGTTACCTCCCCAGTGCCCTTTGGACATATTATGTTGCAGCATGTTAGACCCAAGTCACTAACCTTCACCCGTTCCGTCTCTGTTGATTAATATGTACCCATTAACAGCTGGATGAGCTAAAGAAAAGAAAGATGGTTAAGTACCTTTCCTAGGAATACATCATCCCACCCAACAATGCCAGGAATTGAACTCATTACAACAAGATAGCAAGTTGAACATTTCACTGAACTCACCCTCCAGTCAACAAGTGGATGCCTTTGTCTTTCAGCTCCTTCACTATCTCAGTCAGCTGTTGAAACAGGGCGACCTTCACCTCTTCTGTCATCACATCCAGGTCTTTGGCCAGTTCAACAAAGCCACACATACAGTCTGAAATATACAGGTGGACACTGACATTATAACAGGCTGTAACACTTACAGTACTGTAAAATTCTTTCTAAAACTGAAAAAACTAAACTGACATTACTTTGCAGGTTCCTGCCTGGACATTATTTCATCAGAAACATTTTTCAGGGTTCTCTTATTATCCCCTGGTAAAAGGTAAGGTAAAGTGAGTGGTTCTACAAAAATACTCAAATCATTTTTAAAAAATCAGTCTATGACACTAAAAAGTAGCTTTTGGAACATCTTAAAAGCTTGGATTTTCTTTTCAGTGAAATAATAACTATGCCTTCACAGGAGAGAATAAAACATGAAAAAAAAGGGAACAAAATATACAGAGAAAAAAAAAATACTTAAGAACCGTATTTTTCTCTCACTGGCCACTGACAACATGATGCCAGTGTGATGAAACAAGACTTTATCATACATCAAGATGGGGACCTGTTGAAAAAATATCAACTGACCTGACATAGTCTCCAGACTAGCTTCATCACGGCCTACAGCAGCCCCAGTAGCCAAATTAAAGGCTTTGCATATTCCATCACCAGTCACTGGGAGCACCAGCAGATCCTTCACTTCTTTCTCAACTTCCGGGTCCACCAACCTGTCAACGAAATTGACGAGATTTGTTTTTCTTCTGCCATTTCAAATCAAAGCCTGTATGGTTGCTTTTAAGCACAAGGGGGCTATCCTGAAAATTGCTGTTCTGAGAAAATTAAAGGTAAAGTTTTTGCTCCTTTTTCAGTTTCTTTAAAACACAAGGACAGTTTTCTCTATAACCAAACAAATATACACACCGATGAAACCAAACTTCTCCTATAGTTAGGGCTATGGCCACTTTTGGTGTAGGTCAAGATTTCTGGAATCCCTTGAAATCCGGGTTAGCCCAAGCGACCATATCTACTGCTTAGTCTAAGACTCCACCAAACACCATTTAAAAAAGTGGCATATGGGGGAGTGTTACACTGAATAGTTGGATATACTTTTTGAGGGCCACATAGTGGGTGGTTGGCGGGTGCTCAGGTGTGGTTTGCGTCTTCTTTCCTATCAAACATCTATCGTCTTTATCTCCCCTCCTTTTTGTATTTCAAAAGCTTATCATAGACACTTCCATCTTCATTATACCCTTTGTGTAGCAATGCCCACCGAGCGCGTTTTGTTCTGCCGATTTTTGGCCCCCGCAGCGGGGGTGTTTCGTGGGACACACTAACGCAAAGGTTGTTGTCTTCAACTCGCTCTCACGCCGCTTCTCGTGAATGGATATGAATTAAACTTGGCAGCCAATCAGAAAAGAGGTCAATCTCGTAGTATGCAGATTGACAACATTGTACCCATCCTAGAAGCAGTCGAAAACGTTTGCGAAATAGGTTGATGTGGTGCGCTTTGAAGATTTTTCAGAGCTGTGATTTGTCAAACTGACTGATACGTTGTACACCATTTTTCTTTATTCCCTTAAAATTTCAAGCTTCTGTGTTTAGCGGTTTTCGCGTAATCTTTAAAAATGTGGGAGTAACTAAGGGGAAAAGCGACATTGCCATTTGCGCGTTCTGGGTGAACGACCTGCGGCTGGGAAATTTCCACTGAGTGACGTCACCAGCCATTGGTCGCCTCGGGCGCTACAAACGAGGCCCCGCTTATGTGAACCGGAAAGGGGGGGGGAGGGGGGGGGGGGAAGGATACTTGAAAACTGAACGGGGGCCTTGATAACTTGCGTTTTTGTTGCATTTTAGTCACAATACAATAGATGTAGTCATCTTTATTTGCTTGATTGCATGACAGAAGAATAGAAACAGAAAAGCAAACATCTTGAGAAGTGGTATGGCATTGTGTTTGCGTTATGAAAGCCTATTCCCCCCTCTTGGGAAAGCACACACTTGGACTCGTCCAGTGTGCTCTGTTTGGAAAAGTGAGGCATTAAGATTGTTATTAAAGAGTATGGTAATTATTTAGTCCAGTCTGGGAAGACAGTCCCGTTTATACATTGTTATCGTTCACGCGTGCGAGCGTGAGTGCGCGCGCGTGTGAGAGAGAGATAGAGAGATAGATAGATAGATAGATAGATAGAGAGAGAGAGAGAGAGAGAGAGAGAGAGAGAGAGAGAGAGAGAGAGAGAGAGAGAGAGAGAGAGAGAGAGAGAGAGAGAGAGAAGGGGGGGGGGGGGTGTAAATATGTTACATTTATTGTATGAGTTGTAGCCTACACATGCGAAATATTCCCATGACTTGTAAACTATATTATCTGAACGCATCTTAATCTACCACACAATAGGACACTGTCCAACAATGGATATACACAGAGACGATCTTATTTTCTATAACAAAGAATGCATGCTTTTACTAGTACAGAACTGGATTTATTAGTAGCTCTCTACTTACATTTTTGTGACAAATTGATCCAGAGCATTGCTTGGCAAGGAGGAACCTTTTATGTTGCCAAGTTTCATTCAAATATCATGACTTTGGGAGAACATATGACTGATAATCTTTGTAAATCTGTAAAGAACGCCACTTTTTTACCTGTTAATGTCTTTACAACTCAAAAAGTATGACAGATATTAAAAATCTGACTGCATGACTAGATTCTGCATTAAAAAATGTACTAGACTGCCAAGTTTCATTTACATATTCCAAGAAATAGGCGAGGTATGACAAATATTGTCTCAAAACGCACCGAAAACTGCCACATTTACCTATAAACGTCTTCATAACTCAAAAAAAAGGATAGCTATGAAAAACCTGAAAGCAAGACTAGATTTTGCACTACAAAATGTACTGGGCTGCCAAGTTTCTTTGAAATACTCTGAGAAATGAGCGAGTTATGACGAATATTGTCTCAAAACTCACCAAAGAACGTCCCATATTTTGGGGGTTTTCCATTATATAAAAGTGTACCAGAAATTAATTGATTAAAAAATCCGTAACTTTTTTGTTTATTGATGGATTTCAAAAATTCAAAAAGTTCCATGCTCTGTGAAGATAAAGCTACAAAATGCACCTATTTGCAAACACTTTCTGGCAAAAAAAGGATGTTCGTGGTCATTGCTACTTTGTGCCAGCACAGTGACTTGTTACACACAGAAGTGCAGTATACAAACTAACAACCACAAACACATTCAGCCTTGGCTAAAATCCTTTTCACCACACAATACAGTAAAAGATCAGTAGCAAGTGCTCTGGCTATAGTGTATATTCAGAAACAAAGCACATATTTCAAGGATTCTCATACAAGAACAGCTCCCCTTGAACACCACAGCTTTCTAGCACCATGACAAGATTAGACATATCTTCCAGTCCACAGAAAGCTCGTCAATCAAACCTTTCCTGTATGATGTTTCACTGATGAGCCACACAGCTTATTAATAGTTCATAAAGTAAATAACAGCAATGAGGGAAGCCATTCCTACCTCTCTTTTTCATTTCAAAATTTACACACAAGAAAAGGGTAGGTAGAATTTTAAAATTTAATTATTACTGCACGAGTAACATTAACACAGCACAGTTAAGAAAACTGACCTGAGCAGCAACTGTAACTCTGTTCTTCTGAAGACGTCAGATACACCTGTTGGAATGGTCTCTTTCTCTGTGAGCAGTTTCACAACATCCAGGGTCTGTCTTTGACTAAAGCACTCTCTGACAAAATGAAAGCGTAATGAGTCAAAATGTCAGATTACAGGAAGACACATTAGAAGCAAGTGGCCATAACACTGATTTCTTTTTAGACCTAGTTTAACTGATTAATATGCAAAAGATGTCCCAAAAATTAATCTAAATTTATGACAAGAAAAAGAGAGTTCTAAATTTCCTCTTGGCTTGTTTTAGATACCGAAGTGGCTGAACTTCTTCACAATCGGTAAACAACTAAATTTTCATAATTTGACCCAAATTCAGTAATTTCAAGGGGCACCCCATCTTTATGGGATTCAACATCTCTCTAGCTATATATCAAATATAGATACTCCATGTTGTGTTTCTTTAGTCACCTCTGCATGATGAGCTTTCTATTTGGATAGTCATTGTTCTGTCACTTGTAGCACTCACTCATCTCCACTACTGCTGCCTCTCTCCACAGACCTAGGGACTCCAGGTTGGTTGGTGTTTCACAAGCTACAGTTGGAATTGATCTCATAAATAAATCTAAAAGCTTGATTCAGTATTTTTTCAAGGGACATCTGGGTATTCTTGCTACAGATTGTTTGTAGGCCTACGTTGTATTCTAAAGTGTTTTTATCTAAAGTCATTACTATATTTTGATCAAAACCTACAAAGATCATGTGACTGCACCAATATTTTGCCAATGAGAAGACAAACTTAAATACGCTTGTTTAAACACAGATGCTTGAATCTTTTGGCTAGTTTTCCGCCATCCCACACGTGTCGGCTTACCCCTTTGGAGAGAACTGAAGAACTTGTGACATTTGTCCCTCTGTAAGAGCCATCAAGTTAGATTTGACCCCTGACTCCAGCTCCTCCAGGATGATGCTGCTCTCTGACGGGCTCTGTAAACATATGTAACAACAGAATATAAACGATAGTGATAAACTGAAATATAAAAATAATTATGGCTGAAATACAAATTATCATCTCCAACAAACAGGAAGAAAGAAAATCGTGACGTGGTGTAGGTTTAACGCCCTTATCAACGCTATTAGCTTATTTAAGAGACGGGACATCCGAGTTTAATGTTTATCTTGGAAAGGACCGAGCCAAATGGGACATTCATGTAAAGTGCCTTTCCCAAGGAAACAACATCGGACCAAGCTGAGGCTTGAGCCTCCGAACTCGCAATCTCACGATTACAAGCCTAACCACTGAGCTACCAAGCCACACTGAAAGAGTGAAGTAACAACCAGATCCAAAGGTGTAGAACCAAAGGTAAATTTTGCTGAAGTCGCAAGAAAAAGGAGTAACTTTGTTTGACACTGCTCTACAAAGGGAGGGAAAAATATTGAGAGGGACTTAAATTTTTCTTGCAACAAAGATAACACTAAAGATCTGAAGCATGAACACGACAGAATGCAAATCACCAATCCTTTCTTTGTTCTCACTACAGCCGGAATTTGCAGGTACCCTTAGACATTATAAGCCCTATTTCAGTCACCACAGAACATACATCCTAGACAAGTACAATAAAAACACAAGAATGTACTGTATTACTGCAACTGCTTCCACAACATTTCTATGCTTCAATCATCGGTATCACTTTCTCTTCTTGAGGTAAAAATTCCATCAGAAGTTTGCATTTGACCTATTTCTCATTCAATCACATAATCTCTAACTACGGTATCCTCACCAAGACAGTATTAAGTTGCACACTCATATGACCTTATGCAGTTGTGAATGCCGTAAAACTATTACCAAACTGAAGTCAGACACTCCCCCCCCCACCCCTTTCTTCCCCTCTTTCAGTAACCTTTTTACATTTGTGAGGACTCTTTTCTCATTACATGAAATTTATGGTTTTACTCACAAAGAACTTCATTCAGCTCACATAAAAAAAACAACTGCTGAACCCAAGACATAATTTTAAGAAAAGAAATGCCAACAATAACGATAAAATATCTAATTTGCTGCAGACGAAAGAAAGCAAGAAGTTGAATGCTAAGATGCTCACAAAAGACTTCATCTGTTCTGCAGTCCAGACAACCAAACAGGCAAACGCAAGACTGGTCAAACAAAGGAGCCTTTTCTCGGTGAAGGAAGTATCAGCAGTCACAGCATCATTATCTCCCTCTGTCAGTTCTGCTATGAGGTTCAGAGTCCTCAGATTGTGCACACACAGCAGGGCATACGGCTGCAAGGTCACCAAAGTCTCATCATTTCTTGATTCCTTTGATTTTGGACGCTGGTGTAATCTGCCTTGTGCATATAGACACTCCATCACCTGAAACGGAAACCACTACGTTCTTATTTGATTTTCCACCAGTGAAAGTGGTGGGGTGGTTGGGTTGGGGAATGTGGGCATGAGTATTTATCATCACCAGTGCAATGTATTGCAAGCTGAAGGACTATAAATTTCTCAAAAACAAAATCATTAATAATTTTCAAGCACAGATTTTACCAGTAATATGAATGCTTTAAGGAATTTGTAACTCTCTTAATGTCAGACATTGTAAAAAAAAAATTTGTTTTTTAATAAAGGATCCTTCAGGTCCTGATCAGATTAAACCCTACATCTCATAAAAAAATGCTAGTGAGAGGAGTCAGAGCAAAAATTGCCTCAAACTTGTCTCAAATCCTGGATTGATTCACATCATGTTTATATTTAAGACAACCTTTTTTAGGTGGATCAGCAAAAAAATGGGAGGAAAGGTCGACTGAGGCTTGTTAACTCTGGCAAGTCTTCACTTCCTCCTTTTCTTTTACTCTTCCGTCTGCACCAAGTACTTCATCTCAGTAATGACTCTTTGGTGTCTCATAGTAGGTTGTTAAAGCTTTAAGAAAACAAACCTTTTGCTCTTCCGGTACACAGAGTTGCTGAACATCCACCAGCAGGTTATTCTTGACAGATGCCAGCACTGACACATCGAGGGAAGGACTGGTGCTACTTTCTTTCTGTAAGTCAACACTATCATTGTATTCGCTGTTTCCACTTCCACCTGCAGCTGCTACAGCAAGAATCCGAACTGCTTTAGTGACTCGAGACAGACTGTGAGACGACAGCAAAAAAAGATACAGCTTAAAAAAACAAGCAAAAGAAAAAACAACTGTTAATCAAAACTAACAAAAAAATGTCACAAGATTTTTGTCATACCTACACCAAAAATCAATAAAGGTATTTGATAAAATTCACAACAATCAAAACTCAGATATCTTAATCCAATACTTTTCAAATATATACATTCTGACTAAACTGAAGAAAATCTGCCCTACAGAATTTGGATTAGGTGAACTCCACTGCATAAGCACAGCTCATATTGCAATCAGGGTCTCCTTTGAATCTGGAGGTCTATGAATATACAGTTGAACATGTGTAAGACGGCCACCCATTGTCAAGGAGAAAAGTGGCCGTATAAGACAGGTGGCCGTCTTAGGCAGGACTGATCGAGGTGAAGAAAACAAACAATTCCTTTCTGAGAAAACAAACCCTTCCTTTCTGAGGTCCCAACCGAAGATAGTTGCATTGTTGTTGTTGTTTTTGCTCGGTTTTCTTTTCTTTTGTGCACGGGTGACAATAAAACGAAAGGTGTCAGACAAGGAGGATCAAGTGCTAAGGTAAAACAAACACCCGTACTGCCACTGGGAGAACGAGCGACGCTTCTGTCACAAGTTCATGTTGACGTCCATTGTTACTTTGTTACAGACTGGGTAAACAGTGACCACTCATGTCACTTGCGATTTGTGTATGGGTTCTGGGCGGGGCTTATGGGTTATGGGGGATCACACGCTTACCTCACCAGCAGTTGAAAATTTATTTTGTTACCTATTGGTCAACAGTGGGAGGGGCCCACGCAACATGATCAGTTGGAGGGACTACCTAACAACGACAGGTTTTTAGATTATGACAGCTCGCCCACAACGCCAGCGGCCAATGCACAATTTACGACAAAGCGTAATGGAGTCACTAAGGTGGCCGTCTAAGACAGGTGTTTTTGCTTTGTGTGATAGGGGTTGTGTGTTGAAATATGGTGGCCGCGGCCGCGTTGGACAGGTGCCTGTTTTACACAGTTAAATTATATAGAAAAAACGCAAGGGGGGAAATGGAAAGTGTCCGTTTGTACAGGTGGTCGTCTTATAGAGGTGGCCGTCAGGGCAGGTTCGACTGTAATAACCAAATTAAATCCAATCATGGCCTGGAACAGCAAAATCTCACCCTGCCACACTTGTCACAGACTCCCTGAGCCACTGCTGTATCTGGGCACACATAGATTCCAGACGCCGCTCCTTTTGAGCCGGTGCATCAGACTGCAGCATCAACCTCAGTCCAGCTTCCAAAACAGATGCGAACTCCGTCTCAGCATCTACAAGGAGTGAAACATACGAGAGTACTGTGTTATTATTTATAACGTTTGAGCAGACTACCATAGCCTACTCGTAAAAACAGACAGAAATGACTGGCAAGCTGAAGACTGAAAATTGGAGAGGGTCCCATGGGACCACAGTAATATTTTTATTCGTGATGCCAAAAGGAATAACAAGAATTTTTGCAAAATTTTTGCAAGCCCCCAAATTTGTCCCAGATTAGCTTAAACTGATAGTTAAGGGCACTTTTTAGTGTATCTATTCTTTAGGAGAGTATCCACATATGAAGTCTTGCTTGAGGCTGCTCTCAGAAGGCCTATTTTTGCCACAGTCAATTTTTTTTTACTTATCAATAACCAGGTTAGAAAAACAGTGGAATAAACAGATAAATGATGAAGCAAGGCTGACAGCATGACAGGAACCTGCTCAAGGTAAAAACTGCCAGGCATCTTACCCTGATCCCAGTCGTAGGTCTGTAGCTGTATGCTCATGAGACTCATCACCAGTTCACACAGCTGAGGGTGAGAGGCCAGCTGGAGGAGAAGAAATATAATTAAAAATGTGTTACGAAAAGTTTACACAGGCGGCGACAATGAGAGGCCTTCAAAGGGGAAATAAATATGCTTTGGAAAGTGTTATCAAAAGTTGACTCACAGGCAGCCATGAGAGGCCAGCTGTGAGAAAAAAAATATCCTGCAGCTTTAGAATGTGTCATCAGGAGTTTACACTAATAGAGAGGCCAGCTGATAGAAATAAGAAGTAATCCAAGCTTCCATAAAATACATTGTGTCCTTGGAAAAAGCACTTTACAAGGATTTTCATCACTTCACCCTGGTGGGAATAGTACCTGGCCATAGATAGCAAATGATCCTTGTCAGTATGTTAGTGTTTTAGTGCCTGAATAAATGACAGCTTCCACAATATGCTTCCCAGGAAGTAAGAGATTATTTCAGAATATTATTACAATCAGGTCTGCAGGGGCAATAAATTTAATACAGACTAAAGCAAGTAAAGCTTGTTGTTGAGTGGGATTTGCGTCATACTAACTCATTATACATTATTCCTAATACCATTAGTTACAAATCAAAAGTTCTCCTAATTAAGGGTGTGAGACAAACTTATAAGATAAAAAGCAATCTTGACAAAAGTGAAATTGTTCAGAAACATATCACCAATTTATACAGGAGAGGCAGGTAAGCTTATTTACAGAAAAGACAGACCAACTTTTCTTTCACAATTGGAGTAATTTCTTTATAAAAAATGTCGAGTAGATCTGGCATGAGTGTTGCTTTACACTTACACCATGAAGAGAATTTGGGTGATGAATATGCTGGATCTAACGTTTTTAGTTCTGATTCTAATTCTTTGTGATCATCGTGATCAATTTTCTCAATATGCAGAACATTTCATAATGGTAAGTGTATTTTGGCCAAGATAAATATATAGTACTGATGTACCCCATTTGCATCCTGGTCTGTGGGGATAAAGGTTGTGTGCTCTGCATGCTGTGTGCGTGGATGTGTTAGATAAGAGCGCCATCAAACAATGTTCCAGTGGCTGAAACTATTCGAAGGGCCCACTTGATCACATCATTCTTCTCTCAGACATAAAATTATGCGTGACGTGACAAAACTGACAACCACATACTGACAGCTTGTTTTTACGGCACTTGCAACACAAAAAGACCATATAAGTGCCAACGAATAGATTACGAGTTACAAGAGAGTAACACACAAAAAAAGAAGGAGGGGAGATAAGGATGACAGATGTTTGACATGAAAGAAGGAGCAAACTGCACCAGAGCACCCACCAACCACCTGGGGCAAGGCTCCACCATACACCATTTTTTAAAGTGATGTATGACCGAGTCTTACACTGAGCAGTCATTATGGGGGAAAAAAAGCACAAACAAACAGGGACAGAGAGGAATTTTTCCCCTACCTTATGTTTGTCAAAAGCAGCCTGTGCCATCCGCACAACAGACATGACATTATCCCCTGTTGCCGTCACGTGGGACGTCAAAAACTGCTTCAGTGTGGTGATGTAGGATGACACGATGGCATCCAGGCATGACTCAGAGACCAAGAGCCCTGAGGGGAAAGAGATCCATCATAAATATGAGACATGTACATGTAGGTGTATTTGTGCTCCCCACTGACACAATTTAGATCATTTAGAAGGTTGGCTCCAACCCTGCTGTCAGGGCCAACCCAGGCTGAAGGATATAACATCCCAGCAGAAAGACGGAGGAGACACTTGATAAAAATTCTCCCTATTTAGGAATCAAACTCAGGTCTCTGCATGTGATGGCAAAGCATTTAACCACTACACCACAGACACTGGTACATTTATGAGAGCTACTTATATATATAAGTGGATATATATATAAACAGAGGGCGGACAACTATTCGTACCTCTCCCCTCTCACATTAGTACAAATTAATCATTTTGCTCAGCAACAAAAACCCACTTATCCACATGTACACACAACATACACTTTCATGAACACTTCCTGTGTGTGCAGTCAGTCAGTATAATCAGTACTGTTTTTCATGGTGACTCTCTTTTTAAAATTAAAGTTCAAACATTTAGTTGGAAGAAATACAGTTTTTGCTCCTACAGATTCCCCACACACAGCTGAAGGGTGTGCAGGCTATATCTCCCATTGGACAATACTGTGATGTATGCAATTAACCTGTCCTTGGCCTTCAACACAGTGACCCCCCCGGCTTATAAACAGTTAACTCTCCTTCTCTGGCTACCTCAGAAAGAGAAATTTGCAGTCATGTTTAATTAGATCTACCATCGCGGACGCTAACTTTTTTCACTACGTATTAATTTTTCATGCGGTCTGCATGTTTTGAATACAGGGAATACATTAATTTGGCACTGAAAATCTGTTCGATGTGTACGTTTTTGGCAAAGACTACAAATTTGTAGACTAAAACAGGGAAAAGACGGTGAAGAAGCACTCTTTTCAAAAGAGCAAATGCTACATGATGTAAAGCACTTAAGTTATCATCCTCCTAACCACTGTAGAACTGAACTTTTTCCTCCTTTATAAAGGCCCCAATTACTCCTGATCCTCAGGTGCCCTTCCCTGTAATCAAATACAAACAAACAAACAAAACTAGAAACTTACAGCTGTTCTCCTCCGTCAAGCTGATGGCAGCAGTCAACATCTCCCACAATGCACCAGACACCTCCGGACTGCTCAGAGCATCAGGGTCCGCCATGAGATCTGTGGTCAACCTCTCTATTCTTGCCCCAATAGCTGGGCCTTTGACCAGTTGCTGACAGGCAGGAACTCGCTTGGCAAGACCCAACAATTCTTCAATGAAATGGCACACTGCAACTGGTTGCTGAAGCTTCTGAAGTCCACAAATATCATAAAAATCATTTATAGTTTGCATTAATAATTTTTTAAAACAATTTCATCATCTGTCAACTAAACATCAAAGCTATGAGGCAACCGTTTTCTTCATCAGTTAACGTCAGAGGTAAAGTAGCTGATTGTCTAATCTAATAACTATAAATGATGTTAACATTGTGTGAACAGCCAGACTTCATGACTTTTATGTTCTTTTTTTCACCAGAGTACCGTCAAAATTGTCCAAGATGGCCACCCATTGTCCAGGAAAAAAGTGGTTGTCTTAGGTAGGACGGATCACGTAAATGAAGAACACAAACCATTCCCTTAAGCAGTCACCATCAACACTATACATTCATACCAATTGATATGAAATTTGTGTTTTAGGATGAGTGCATTTGATGTTTTAAAAATCATATTGTTGAGGTACTGGTACTGGTGGAATGACCCATATATTATATTGTCAACATTCTACTCTTTTGGCTAAATCATTCATCATAAGATTGAGGAACCCCCCCCCCCCCCCCCCCCCAACAAAATCCAACTCCCTCATTCCAAATGAAAGCCTTAATGACTTTAAAAAAAAAGTAAATTCCAAATTTAGTTTTGCATTTACTATATTTATTAATGTGGCGCTTGACCATTGTATAAGGAAGGCAATAATAGTTCAGTGAGACTTTGGTCTCAATCATAGTGCTATTATGATAATATATCCACACTCACGTTAAGGATGGTCAGAAGAAGTTCAGCCCCTTTTTCCTCTTCCACGTACGAAACAAAGGCAAAAAACGTGGCCACAACATCGGAATGAACCGACGCTCCTTCTCCATTAAATCCTTTTGCTGCTTCCGCCAGCTGCCCTACCAAATGATCACAAAGAAAGCTCCAGTAAGCGTCACTACGACCACCTTGGTCAACATTTGGAACAGACTTCAACTCCTCAGCCAACCAGTCTGGAGAGTGCTGAGGCAAACTGTAGGAATCACTGAGTCCCAGATCACAGAGAATTAACCGAACGGTGCTGTCTTTCCTTCCTTGGAGTAATCTTTCTGGGGCAGCACTGGGAATGTGGATAATTGTAAGTTCTTTAAAAAGATTAAAATACTGCGAGCTCATTGGTCCCTCTAAGGAAGCCATGGTGTAAGAAGCAACCAGGAGATCTGAATAAAAATTCTCTGCTGCTGATGACATTTGCTGTTTCTGAGGAATTGACACATCTGATTTGCCCGACGGTTCTTTCTCTTTTTGCACAAATCGAACTCGTTCTCTTTTTGAAGTGGAAACAGTTTCCTGATATACAATGCCTCGTGCCAGGAGAGAAAGTCGTTGAAAGATCTGAGGTGAAGGCTTCTTCACTTCCTTTTCACCATCCTGGGCTGGGGGTTTGAACTGAAGGACCAGGTGAGATACGATGAAGGCAGACAGGTCTGACCACACAGTATCCTCCTCACGAGGGTCAAGGTCGCATAAGGCTGACAGCACGGTCCCAATGAGACTATATAGTTCCGTTCTTGACAAAGCTGGCTTCGGGTGGGTGAGGGATGCCTGCACTACCACAATCATCTGAGGACAATCAAAGAGCTAAGATTCAGAGGGCAGGGAGATCTTTAGCAATAGTTTAGTCTCTGAGACAGATTACACTACTACAGTAGTCTCCACCTAAGATCCCGGTGCTCGGGAAAAAGCGGGATCTTAGGCGAACCGGGATCTTAGCCGATTTGCCAGAGGGAAGAATCCACAGTAACTCATGGTGAGTCCCAACATCTGTACAATGATCTGCCCTTACTTTAAAATGAGTGACTCCTGGGCACTAAAAGTCCTTTTCAGGAGTAAGTTTTTCCCTTTCTTTTGTATGGGGAAGGGGGGTGGAGCTTTTTAAAAATACTGTGTTAGGTGGGAACCAGTAGGCTTCAGGCAGTGCCCCCCACCAAAATTTATTGCTTTCCATCTCTGACAAGGTTCCCCGCCCATGTCATGATGCATCATAAATCGTTGAGTTGTGACCACACCGACTAATAAAAAAAATAAAGGTAGTTTCACTGCCAACAGATGACCACAATACGCAAAGGTGTACAGATAGTCCACGAGTATGGGCGCCAGTCTGTCCAGGAAGTTAGAGCACAAAACTGAAAGAGAGCGATGGTCGGGGAAACGTAAGCATCCACGAGTTCACAGTTTGATGGAATGCAGTCTGATGCTAGCTTGTAAGCCCTCCCCACCTGGTGTGTGATGTAAGATCAAGAAGACGGCTCAGATGATCGGGGACAGCAACGCGTCAATGAGTTCACACCTTGGTGCGATCCCATTCGGGGCAAACATTGTAATCGTTTATTGAGATTTACAAGAGAGGTATGATTGCGTTCAGGAGAATGTATGATCCGTGACGCCACAGACTGTACAATGATTGCACATTTTCGCTACTTGTTTGATCAGCTAAGCGCGGCCAGGTTTCTTATTCTCTTTTTTTTTCTTTAAAAAAACCCAACAAAACCCAAAAACTAAATTATGACCTGAAAAGCAGGATCTTGGCCGAATGCAGCACCTTTAGAGCGGGTCAGATCAGGATCTTAGAGGTGACTTTTATTCATAGTAAAAATTATGTTTTTCCAAAACAGCGTGATCTTAGGTGAACCAGGACCATAAGAGGGTGGGATCTAAGGCAGAGACTACTGTATAACAATTTGACCACAGCACAATACAGTTGTAATATTTCAGGAGTTAACATAATAGTAATAACTTAGAAAATATCAGCATTATTCATGACAGAACAGGGAAGAGAAAAAGCTCATCACCATAATTGGGCATATTTTTGCAGGCACAATCCCTCAATAATTTGAAAAAACAAAAACCTGCGACAAAACAATCCGTACAGTCTTCAAAAACTTAAAATAACGAGGTTCCAATTAATATTCAAAAATCAAAAAAAGTTACAAATTTACATGCCATATAACAGTAATGTCAAGGTATCACTTGTCAAGTATTTAAACTAAATCTTTTAGATATTAGACAAGACTATTCAACACAAGAAATGAAAGATTAAAGAGACTTTAAAGTAAGGAGAAAGTCTTCTGCATAATCTCTGAACACTGAAAAATGTTTAGCTCATTTGACAGCACTATAAAATGTAGGGTGATCAAAATAAAAAAGAAAAAAACTCCCAAAAAACGGAACAACTATTTTTCTGAATATCTCGCACAAAATTTGTACTATAGATCTAGAATCTTGTGGTTTGGAACAGAATTCATTCAAAGGGAATTTGTTTGACATAAAATTCATAAAGAAGAAACTTGTTTTCAAAAACGAAAATGGCTTTTATAAAAACAACAACCCTATAAACACAAATTGAACCAATTTAAAAGATCTTGTAATTTAAGGAGAGTCATGAAATGATTGGTTTATTGTTTTTTTTCTTCCTTTTCTTTTTAAAATCTAATCTTTCCATCACTGTAACATTTACCCAATAATATTAATTCTTTTCTCTTACAGAGTTACAATTTTTTTTTTAATTCAGGAATTCCAAGAACTAGTGCTCTATATGTCTTCCTATGGACTCGCCACATTTTAACATGTCGCTCATAATGTTCAGTGGTGGCTTCACACAAAGATCCATCCAACCATGAGTACTCAAAGCTACACACACTGTACACCTTACAGTATGGAGTTGCTTCTAGAGACAGTAGGGTGGCGGGTGAGGTTGCCTAAATAGGCATTTGTAGAGTTAACATATCCTGAAATGTGAATATGGGCTTTGCCAAGGAATCAAATGTCATAGAGGAAAGTTCACGCTTTTCAATACGATGGAGGAAACATAAACACATTGCTATCCTCTGATCATGGGTCTCAACTCAGAATTCTAAAAAAGGAGGAACTTTACGGGTGATCGCCACAGAAGCCCATTTTCACAAAACACCCATTATTATTATACTATACTGTTGAACCCCAGAATGCAGAAATAAAAACCATTAATTTATCAAAGCAAGGTTATTTCACACCAATTTGAGGGTTTGGGAGATAATTTTAGAGCCACATACAAAATATTTACAATCTTGATTACGTACAGAAAGTGGTGGCGCCTTGGGTCTTGAGCGACATAATATTTTCCCTTCATCATATTCGCCTGCATATATTATATATATAAACTATATAAAAATGATTTTGTTTTGAGCCTAGAACCAGAATATCGACGGTCAGGATTCATATCATATATATAGGCCTATTGTTAGTTTACAAAAAAATTAGCAAAATATAAGTCTCATTTAGACACGGAAAGATTTAAAAAATCAGCCCCACTTGGGGGAAAAAAAGGAGTAACAAAGCTTCCTACCGACCACTCACGGGAAATACGGTAAAACTGAGGGGAATCTCAAGACAGTTGGGTTCAGCCAACCACGTAAACAACTCTCAATCAGTCATCTCCTCAAAATTCCATACATGCTGATATGAAGCCCAAGCATTTGGTTGTGTTGCAAGTACCGTTAAAACTCTTACAAAAATTTTAAAAAGGCCCTTTTTTCAAAAGGAAAAGTCAATATAAATCACTACAGGTCTCAGATCACATTAAAAATGAACATAAATAACATCTTTGCCATTAAGAGTTACCTACCTGGTCTTCAGTTATGCTTTTAATCTTTGACAACTTATTTTCATCTGAAGCAGATCCCGCGATGAACTTGAGACTGTACTGCAAGCACTCAAAAAAGCTGCGCACAAGCGCAGCACACGCGGAAGGACTGTTTAGTACACTGTCTTCATTCAAACTGTTGACACAGCGGTAGAAAAGAAAGAAGAAAAATTAGTAATATGATAGTAAAGGCAATGACAGCAGACATGTATTGAGGGAAGGTAACAAAAGAATAGATGCTGCTACTATTTCTGGTATCGAAAATTACTTTTTGGCTCATTGGGTAATATACAACCCTACACTAAGGCAATCCAAATAATTTAGAAAAGAACAGAGTTGTTTCGTTTAAAGTTGCTGAGCAAAACACCTTCAACATTATACAAACCAGCTGGTATCAAAGTAACCAAATGTATATCTCATTTTTTGGAATAACAGAAAACAGAGACGAACATAAGGATCCCCATAAGAAGGGTTGAATGATCCCTCTTTAAATTTTCGCTAAAAAGGATTTGATAAGCAGATATATTTACCCCAATCTAAAAGCACTGAAAAACTGTTCAAAGTTTTTCTCTGGCAAAGTGCTGAGTAGTGGCAGAAGGCAGGGAGATATCACAGTTGCTTGTCCGGAACAACCATTTTCCAAGACACCTTTGAGTGAGGGCCACACTGCTTTCTGCCAGTTGACGTAATCCCAACAATTCTGATGGTTAAAAACACATGAGCAATATAGTTATCACATAAAAAGTCTGAGTGAACAGAGAGAAAGAAAGTTCAACAATTTTGAAATATCCTATGGCCAAAACTGTCAGTCTCAATACAGGAATACTACTTCTCCTCAGTGCTTCTATCATCAAATGTTGAAAACAAGAGAAGCTTTGACAACTACTTCAACAGCAAACATGTGTTGGGAGGTAATAGGAGGACAAATTTTAAAGACACTATATATAACAATTTCTTTGCACTCTCGGCCACCAATATTTTCTGACATACATTGGTTAAATTAGCCACAGGCGGAATGATAAACAAATGAACAATACTTTCAACAGAAAGAAAAAAAAATATTGACAATCTAATTGAGGACGCAAACTGACAGACTAAATTTTTTCCCCCCAATTTACAGAATTCTAAAAATCAGGCAAAACTGCACACTTCTGAATCAGAACGTCCAAAAATAACTGAACTCACATTGTGTGTATGGGCCACAGACAGAATGGCTTCCCAGCTTTGCGCCATAAGGCTGGGGTCTGAAGAGTTGAGGCATGAGACAACCAAGGGACAGATTTTAGCCAAGAACAAAGCAGACACATCTGGGCAGAGTTGGCACACGGCAGATAACACACTCAGGACACCTGTCTTGACCTGAGGAGCAAACAAATCAATCCATCTATTAGCTTTTCAAATCCTTAAGATTTTATTGGTCCGGCTTGGAATTTAGATACTAAAAACAAGTTTTAGATTGATCAAAAAGAAGTGTACCGCAACCAGTACCAGGACTAGAAAGGTAACAATGGACTTACCATCGGGATGGTGGACTTGGCATGTTTCCAGAAAGCACCACTGGAGAGGAGCTCAGACAGCTGGGGGGTCAATGAACCTAGCGACTCAGCAGTGAGGCCAGACATGAGCTTACGTATGGCTTGGAGGCTTGAAGAGACCACTCGCAAGTACTTGGACTCCATGTCTTCTTGGCTGGTCGTCCTGTCAGTGGAAAAAAACAAAAACACATTGGTGATAAAGAAAACAGGAAATTTGTACCTTCTTATAGTTCAAAACTGCTTAAAACCCTCCTAGATCATTAACGAAAGTTTCAACTGGTGTTTTTGAGTGGCATTTTCCCCACAAGACTTTCAAAAAATAACTCCACAGGTATCTCAAGACTGCTCTTGCTACTTCTAATTCAGCAGTCAAAAGAAGCACAGGAATTAAACTCCTTTTGGGCTGATGACATCCTCCTCTTTTCCAGAAGAGCCATTATCTAAAATTCTCCCAACTACAAGAGAGTAATATGAAAACTCAACGAAAATAGTGTAAATAATAAAAACATTTTTGAGATTGAAAAAAATATCTTTCAGAAGTCTAAGAAGAGTAAAAAGGTCAAATACTTACAGTGGGTCACTCAGGGTTTGAGGGGTCTGTTTAAGAACATTTGAAAGGAGGCACTGTGGAAACGATTAAACATCACAATTTAAAGTCTTGCAGTTTTTAGAGTTGAAGAGAAGCACAGTGCTAGGAAAATATTCATTTGTGTTACAATGCGGTGGGATCAGGCTCTCATCACTTTTCGGGTATGTGGAGATAATGGTATCAATTTTAAGCTTGTTCACTAGTCTTGTTTTCGACTAAAAAATTACCCATCCATCACGAAACATCGAGATATTTGCTATTTAAGGACGTGGGATTTGCCTGGTTTCAGAAGTAAAATTAGCGAGAAAATGACTGCCCAAGTTTGGTGACTTTCATAGCTTTAGAGTCCTTTGAAACTGTAACTTCATTTTTGGTGCTTTTGATCTAAATTTTTCAGTAAAATCCACACAGAAATGTTTTGAAATGGACACAAAAGGTGCTGAGCAAAAAAAAAAAAAAAAACCCCATCAAAATTGCCAAACCAGTGGAAAAATGCAGATCTCTTCGCTTTGAAGAGTGCCTGATTTCACCACGATTCACATTTACTCTTTGGAAAAAGCAAATCAGAAACAAAAGAGATTGTGCAGTTGTAGGAGCAACTTGTGACATCATCCCGCCACTTTCAGTAGAAGCTTGAGCAACAAGCATGTGTTATCATTCTAAATGTTCTGTGCTGAAATTAAAGATCTGCATTCTTCAATACCATTTAATAGGCATTAACACTAATTACATGCTTTAGTCACTTCCAAGACAACAATAATGCGATCAATGCAGACACTATTATCTTCTTACCTGCATGATTTCTGTCTTGCAAAAGCGCAAAGCCTCTCCTTGTTTAGCACCAGAGAAGGTAGCCTCAAAGGCTGAAGTAGCCGCCGAAGCTACGGTGGGGTAAGTGTCACACTGGCTCACTAGCCAGCTGCCCATGATCGTCTTTAACTGCGGAGCGATGCTTTTTCCAGCTCGAGCGGCGAGCACTGACAGCGCCGTCTGAGACAACTCACGCACTTTGTGGTCCACATCCTGAACAGGAGAAACATTTATGAAATTCTTTTGTATTGAAAAAGAAAAACAAATTAATTTGATAAAGTCTCTACTATTTTATAGTTAAAAAACAAACAACACGTTGTGTATATGTAGCATTAAAAAAAATATTTATGAAGACCTCATCAATTCAAAGGAAAACACCATAAATGTCATTATTCAATAAATATCAGCTTAATTTTATATAATCTATACTCTTAAAACAAATTAAGTCTGGATTATTTACCACTTATGTGAAAAATAAAAATCTTCATTTAAACCTTGACAACATATATATATATATATATCTCAATATCTCAATATCAGAAAAATAGACAAGTCCCATTTCATCACAAATCTGTCCACATAACAATGCCAATTCCGTTATACCTAATTTTTAAAAACATTCTGCTGTAAATTCATAGACACACGGGTGGAAGTGAAAAACAACTACAAAAATACCGTTAAAATAAAAGAAAGATAGAAAAAAAATACAACTAGTTTCACTTTTAAAAGTGACAGTACAGAAGCCATTCAATTTATAGACAATTGACAAGTTCCACACACATAAAACAGATAGTCACAGACAATGCTATACTCATTTACATATTACGATATTAACAGCCGTTTCTAATAATTACAACAGGCAGAAAATAATATCTTGTGTCTCACAATGGCCAGTTTGTTGTAGATTCTGGGCCAAAAGGGCACAACAGCTTTGACACATTCCTCATCCTTGGTACCACATAGACTGCAGAACTCATGAAGCGCCTGTGAGAGAAATGCCAAAACATCTAAATTTGATTTTTTTTTTTTTTTAAAGGAAAATTCAATACCTGATAACTGCCCTAGCCTCAAAGGCTTACTAAAAATCAGTAACTTGATTTGACAATGCGGCCCCATATAGGACAAAGCACACAACATTATCCCATTTGATAAAGAAAAATACATGCTACATAATAAACAAATATGCTCATGAAAAGATATCCCTTCAAAGGCTATAAAAAGAACCAGACTTCAAGCCTACTTATTTAAAGCATGTAGCAGAACAGGACAAATGATACTAGACAGGACTCTTAACTTGTTAAAGATCTTTCCCCGTTGAACACAACATCGATCCGAGACTCAGATAGAAATCAAACCCATAATTTTTTAATTATGAGTTCGACCCATTGGTTACATAAACCACTGCTAATGGCCATTTATCCATATGATACTCTTCCTGTACAGATATCCAGGAACAAAAGTTATACAAACAGCAAACTTCTGACATAAGAAAAGAATACCGAGCCCAAATTTCAAGATAAAAATAAATTTTTGCCACAGCCTCACTGAAGGATATCTAATCTATTCACACGTGCTGATGTTTTTTTTCTTTTGACAATACAAGTGGTGAAATTTCACACCTGCACAGCCCTGCCCATCTGCACCACTCAGGGCTCACAGAGGTGGGGTAACACATAGTAACAGCTAGCCCTAAACCACATCTTTTCTCTACTTCCTCGCCTGGCGGTGTGATGTGAAGGTTAGAGCCCATGGTTATGAAAGTTTCCATCTTAGACAGATGTATTATAGAGGAATTTATCAAAGAGGGGAGTGGGTAGATTCCGGCAAGACAGGTTCGATCGTATTTCTTACATCAAAAAGCTTAAAACACATCAGCAATTTCCTGTATCATACACTTAAATGAGAATATTTATAGCTATCAAGGAAAATGATATACATAAAAAGCATTTTCAGGATTCACTAACCTTGATCTTTGTGGTAGTGTCACGCTTTGAAAACTTTCTCAGCACCAGCCTGAAATCAGCATCCAAATTGGAATCACATTCCTCAAAAATTTCGCTGGCTGGTACAAATGCTGGCTGGCTCGAGAAGCCGATGAAACCACTTGGAGCCTGTCCTGAAGCAGCTAAGAGTTGGGCAGCTTGGCTACTACTGGAAGGCTGGTGAAAGATGCATTGATATTCCCCAGATTACAAACAACAGAAAAATATGAGCATCAAATAAAAGTACAGGATATCAGTGCTTAATATATGGTGCAGCGTGAAGCTTAAATTTTAACTGAGGCTAGAGTTGAACTAATTAATATTTTCAATTCATGAAACCGAACTCAAGGCCCTCGCGCAGGCTATGGCTACGACACTTTCATGAACTGAAAAGGACTTGCTTTGAAGATTGTTTTATAGCTTCTTAAATAAAGTTTAAAAACCATTTTGGATTAATTGTTTAACTGCCACTTGATTAATAAATTATTAATATACCAAACAACAAACCTTAACATTGCCCTTGGTTCTTTGTGCTTTCTTTGCAGGCATTGCGTAATGGTTTGTACAATTTTATCTGTGAACCTGTGAAAGACAAAAATATTGTTTTTCATTATTTTACACCAAGGACTTAAAAAATCTTTAAAGATAATGATGTCGAAATAAGAGAACAAAATGACAATCAGAGCGAAAAAGAGAAATTACAGACTTTGTGCCGAGAGCTACACACATTCCCTCAAAGTCAGTCAAAGCCACTTAGGCCCTACTTTTATTACATTTTAACTTTTTCTTCTTTTATAATACATGGTGTTGAGGGGAAATATATGCCAATGTCCAACATGGATCAGTGGTGTTGCCTTGGGATCATCATGTTGTTTCTTTGGAAGATATCTCTACAAGCCTGTTCGGGAATTTCCTCCCCCCCCCCCCCCCCCCCACTGGTGACCTTATCCCAGACATTTAAGAAGCAGCAGCATAGACAAGGTTTGAAATACTCCATCCCAGGGCAGACTGTGTTATGTATAGTGGCAAAGACTCCCCCCCCCCCCCCCAAAGCTGGGAGACTTAAAGGAAGATGGCTCTTAGCAGGAGGGTACGAACTGAACTCATGTACTCAACTCATTGTAGAGTATTTTTTACTCTAGCAGGTGTTGTGAGGAAATTAACAATGGGGCACTCTAACAGAACCGATATATCGGCGATATGTCTGCAAAGGGTGAGAATTCTTGTCGATATATATATATATATATATACCGGCGATACGTCCTAAAAGTGCAGCCGCAAACTGTTGTAAGTTAAATTTCAAGATTAGGTCAGGTTTTATTTTTGTCTGAAAAAGATCGCTTGAAAACACCCCCCTGCACCATGTCTTGGTCTTTAAGAAATAAATACAATGATGTTGCCTCTAAAGTAAAAGTCAATAATATTCTGGCATTCGAGACATTCACACACTGTTTTTTTTTCTTACAGTCATTTCGGACTTCCATGGTCTGCGGAAGTTACTGCCTAAAAATGATTGGCTCTTGCCAGTGATTGTCAACAGTGATTCTTTTTTATTTTTAAAGGACTTCCGTGATATGCGACCACCCCAAAAACCCTTCCTATTAACCCTAACACTAGCTTAGGCCTAACTAAATCCTAAACTTCAAACTAAATTTCATAGTAGTCCCTCGTTACGGAATTCCAGGATAACCCGGTACTGGCCCCAACGATAACAATGGAGTGCGAGTTTTGACTTCACTGAAATTACTTCTCGTTCAACAATTCTGAATGATTACTTTTTGACGTGTGCGCCAATATGATGTTTGAATTACAAAACATCAAATTATGGTTGAATTCACATGCCCCCCTGAAACCCCTATGTTATAAGGTCAGGGGGGCAAGCCCCCTATACCCACACCCACCTCCTTGTTAAAGACATGTGAAATATTACTACTCAATTTGTGCTGAAAAATAGCACCGCATCTCTAGCTCTCTTTCGGATACAACATTGATACCGAGTAATAAAGTCAGTATCAATATCCAGTACTCTTGGTACCAAAACCGGAGAATGCCGGAATTCCTACCTTCTTTTTTTTCAATGCTGCCTCTCTACCAGCCACCGAGGCAGAGGTGATGTAGACCTAACTAGTAATTTACTGCTTAGCTTGTTTCTTGGATATCGTTCTTCTAAAATTAAGGAAGAAACGAATTGGCATGCAAATGATACCTACTTACTTTTTTTTTTTTTTTTACCCTCAATGGCGATTTCTCTCCACAATGATTAGGCTTATTCGATTTGCGTAAAATTTCATATCTCTTTTACCCCATACGGGAGACTGCATACAGTGGAAATCAAGGCATCCACATCCATAGTTCACATTAAATTAAAAAATAATAGCAAAATATGTGAACAACTGGGGGGG